CAAGCGATGCTGGAGAAGGGCCCAGCAGGGGGAGAGCGGCTCACCAGCTGGGGAAGGAAATCAGCGTAACACCAGGGATAAAGGGGGGCAGATGGGGGAATCGGCGAAGGGGCTCCAGGACTCCTCGCCGGAGATCAGCGAGGAGAGCACGGGTCCTCCGCTACCCACACCCTCCCTGCGCAGAAGACTTCCGCGCAGGGAGAGTAGGAGGAGACTTGGAGTCAAACAACTTTTATGCTGGAAAAGGTTTAAGAAACGCCCACTGACGGATTCTGCTAGCGACTGAACAGCCACAAAGTGTAGGGCTGTCCAGACAGAAAAGATAAAAAAATTCCTTCCAGTAGCACCTTAAAGACCAACTAAGTTAGTTCTTGGTATGAGCTTTCGTGTGCATGCACACTTCTTCAGATGTGTATCTGAAGAAGTGTGCATGCACACGAAAGCTCATACCAAGAACTAACTTAGTTGGTCTTTAAGGTGCTACTGGAAGGAATTTTTTTTATTTTGACTATGGCAGAACCAAACACGGCTACCTATCTGTAAACCAGACAGAAAAGGTTAACAAAGGCAACTTAGCCAAGGAGGAAGGGCGGGGGGGCGGAGTGACAACTTGCACACGACAAACCCCTACATTTATTACCAAAAAAAATATGTATATATATTAAGATACATCAATATACATACTCGAGAAGCTTTTCCAAAACCAACTCCAAAAGCTTTAAAAAATTTTTTTCCCATTTGCAGCACATGTAAACAATAAGAACAATCCCACAGCTCTGCTTGAAAAACTGGAAAGTACACCTTACTTATTTCAATGTAGTTTGCATAATGTTGACAAAAAGAAAATATCTATCCTAGGAAAAACTGCACCCAAAAATTACTATCCTGTTTACATTGGTTAACTGGACTGATGGAGAAACAATGGAAAAGTTGGCTCAAACTATTGCCCCTCGCCCCTCAATTTTGTCCACTGTCACTCGTATGGTTTTCCAGGACTTATAACTTGACCTCCAGACATCTAGACATTTATGCCACTTCTGTGTGTGAATATCTAATAAGATGGTAGCCGGATTTCTTCATATGTAGAAAGTTTAATTTCTATGGTTTTCCCTGTAGGTATACATCGAGGGCTCTTCCTACACTCAAGCATTAAAGCAACAATTACTTATGCAGTTTTCCCACTGTGTGAATTCTCTGATGTGAAATAAGATTTGTGTTTTTTGCTATAGCCTCTCCTCCCACATTCAGAACCTTATATGGTTTCTCCCCGTGTGGATTCTCTTGTGTGCGTGAGGCTAGAGCTCTGACTGAAGCTTATTTGCGCACACAAAGCATTTATAGGGCTTCTCCCCTGTGTGGATTCGCATGTGCTTAATAGAGCGTCGAGTGATTGCAGAAGCTCTTGCTACAATCAGAGCATTTGAACGGTTTCTCCCCCTGTGTGAATTCTCTGATGGGAGGTAAGGTTTGAATTCCCAAGTGAAGCTCTTCCCACACTCTAGACCATTGTATGGTTTCTCCCCTGTGTGGATTCTCTGGTGCCAGAGTAAGGTTGGTGTTCTTGCTAAAGTTTTTCCCGCACTCCAAGCATTTATAGGGTTCTCCCCTGTGTGAATTCTTTGGTGCGAGGTTAGGTGCCCACCCTGGCTAAAGCTCCTTCCCGCACACAAAGCATTTGTACGGTTTCTCTCCTCTTGTGAATTCTCTTATGCTTAATAAGATCCGACTGCTAGAAAACCTCTTGCTACAGTCTGGGCAGCCATAGGGCTTCTCCCCTGTGTGGATTCTTTGATGTGAGTAAGGTTGGTACTCCGTGTGAAGCACCTTTCCACACACAAGCATTTGTACGGTTTCTGCTCTTCACAGAGCATTTGAAATTCCGGAAGATTTCCGCCCTCAGTGAAGCTCTTCCCCAAACACTAAGGTCTGTTCTGGTTTCTCTTCTGTGTGTCCTTCTCCAACAAATATCAAGGCCCTTGACCTGTTCTTGTTGATCTGGGATGTCATAAAAGTTCCCATCCTGATAAGGAATATAGATTGGTGTTTCTTTTTCCCTGTGTGGTTGCCGTCCTCCATCTGTGGTCCATCTTGATTCCAAAGGATCTCCTTCAACTGTTCCATGCCCCATCTCTTCCAGACAATATCCAGGGAATTCTCCAGCGTAATCTCCGATTCTTCCCGTTCTCCCCCACATCATCTGCAAAGAATAAAGAGAGGAAACCGCAGTAGTATCAAAGAGGGGCGAAGGGGAGAGACAACAGTTCACTCTATCACTTGGGAACAGGCTTGCGACCTTCAAACAACGGCCACTACCACAACTCCCCATCATCTGTGCAAAAGTCTGGTGGGGACTTTTGTTTGTGAACAAATATTATGAATGCAACCTTGGGGTGGCTTGGACAGTGGGAAGGAAGGATCCCCATTATATGTGTGAGGGGTCTGGTTTGGGTCTGGTGTGGTTTTTTGGTGATGGCGTGCTGTGTGCTCGCCTGTCTGGTGTCGGTTTTTGTGGGAGG